ATATATATATAATTTGTTTTAGTTTCCCTCTAAACCATTTTCTTTAAAGGAATTATATTATCATAACTAAATTAGCAAGGTTATGTTTTTTATTTGCACTATTTAAAAATCTAATTCAAGTAAGGAAAATTAAAGGAAAAAAAAAAGATAAACAAAAATGGTTTACTAATTGCTCTAAAAATTAAAGTTACTGCCGCAGCTAGAAAACGGCAACTGAGCTGCTCCTGCCACACTTAATGGGTTAATAATATGCACCTAGACTTTTACAATACTACAGTCAAAGTAATCCTTTGATGACAAGAATGTTAGTGTCTGTATAATCTCTAATTGTGCATTTTCCATAATACTTGCTATCTTTGCAATTGCGGCTGGCAACTAAACATTGTTAGATTGCTAGAGTATCTGTAAAATTGATAAAAGTGAGTTTGCCTTAGTGCTTGCAATGTAGAAAGTCGCACCAACTATTCAAGGACAGTGATTTGCATTCAGAATTTGAAGGTTTCACCAAATGTGTAGTTTTGAATATCAAACATAATGTAGCAATAATTAGTTTTGTATATTTAAACTCATGTTTAAACATACCAAAAACGAATGAAAACAGGACATTTCTCAATTATGTTTTAGAAACAGAGAATTAATGAGATGCCATCGAAATACAACGTTTCTAGTAAGTATGCATTATCATTCACAATGTATGTTGGAAAAGATAGTCTGGACTGGTTGTAAAAAACAAAAACTATTGAAACTTGTTACCATATATAATATGCACCCTAACTTCTAGATAAATTTGGAAAATTATAGTATTGAAAATATGCTTGCAGTCATTCTTCCATACATTATATTTATCTAAATTTATTCAATAAAAAGAATTGTTTAAGCTGTTTGATTTTATACATAAAAATTGGATTGATTTCAGCATGTTCTGATCAAAAATGTTAGTTTCCTATATGTTACATAACTTCCACTCACTTCTAGCTTCCCAATTTAGTGCTGACCTCTGTATGCAAACATTTTTGCTCTCCACTAGCCTTGTGGCTCCCACCTAATCTTGTATCTTCACTTGATATTGCTGCATTGTTGCATCCAATTGAGCATGCAACAATCATCCACCAACAGGAATGTGACACTGCCTCTTTGAGTGCTTCTTTTTCTGTCAGGGGATGTGATGGCTATTAGGTTGCAAATGGTGGAGTCCTGCATGCAGTCTGAACCTTTTTCAGGCCTAGATATGGACTTCTCTCCTCCTATAATTCTTGTCCATAAGGATATTGATTTTAGGCGGTCTTTTCCTGCCATCTAAATTTGTAAACAATTCTTCCAGTGGAGATATGGATCTACATTGAAATTCTCCATCCTTCTATGACTTTTCTTCTCAGGTATGTTACTTTTTTTTCACTCTCTCGTATTTCTTATTATTTTTTACTTTCCCTTTCTTCATTTTATCATGTTTGCCTTAATTGCCTTACCCTCACTACCATTTTACATTAAGTATCCTCCACCCATCTGCTGATGTGTTTTTGGTGGACACTTGTTTCTTTCCTTTTTCTATGTTGGCTCATTCTTCTTTCTCAGCCTTGACCCTTCAGGTCACCTTCTTACTTGGTTACTCTGTTCTGTATACATTGGCACTGGCATTGGATGCATTCTGTCAGGAATGATCTGATCTTCTACTTTGTGCTTTGTCCCCTGTTTGTCTCCTCCCTCATTCAAAACACTTCTTATTGGGTCCTTCTGGTGGTGCCATATTGGTTGGCCCAGTTGTGGTTTCCTCTATTGAGCCTTCTGACTTCCTCTTCCTCTTCTGCTCTCCTGCCTCCTCCTTCAGACTAATAATTCTCTCTTCCATCTAGGCATGTCATCACTCTGGCCTCATGTATAGGATTTGCCTGATCCATGACATGACAGTTGGGACATTCTTCATATGTAGCCTTCTTCCTGTGTCATTCTGTATGCTAATCTGCCTTAGAAGTTTATCAGTGGAAGTGATGTATTTATCGCCACTGGTATCGGCATGGATCTTTCTCACCTTCTCGTGTTTGTGTTTCTCATCTATCTGTGTTCTTCACATGACTTATTGACCAGGATTGGTCTGTCTTAACTATTGCTGGTTACTGGGAAACTCTCTCAACTATTTTCTGGGATTCCCAATACATTGGGTTTTTCCCCATTTTTCTAGCCTACCTGACTGCTTAATGTTGTTCTCTATACTCTTACCCTACCTCCATTTGAACCTTTGGTTTCATGTTCTTTATATCATCTGTTTCTTAAAACTTATTTCTTTCTCTACTCCTCACCTGTGGTTGTAGCCATTCTGGTGTGTATACCATTGATTTTTTGCTCATTCTATTCCATTGCTCCTATATATTTATCTGGATCATGCTTTTCTCCCTAAAATATACGTGGTATAAGAAGAGTGATATTGTGTTCACTCCTATATCTCTTATTTTTATTCCCATTCAGATCCTCATCACCTCTTCTGTCCTGTTTGT